TGCCCTCTAGAACCCTAGGTTTCCTCGTGCCTGTTCCGTACCTGTTCAAACCAAGAGATTAGGGTCTAATGGACCTTAATCGAAGTGTTTCTCATTTGAGAAACACTTCGATTAAAGTCCGTTCAACCTTGAGAAGGGCATGTTCAAACACAAGTTGATTTTTTCTGTTTTCTTCTTTCAAAGTTTTTAAGGTAAGTTTGTTTTCTCTTTGTTATTCAGTACGTGTGTGGTTTAAAGGTCTGTTCATATGGCTGAATGTCTTGTGTAATTTGTGTCCTTGAATTTTTATCAACTGTTGATTGTCCACTTTGCCTGAACCTACGTGTTTGATTAAGTCCCTCTTCTATTCACTGATAATGTGTATGTGTAAGTTGTACAATCAAATGAATTTGAATTGGTTCGTTCAATTAGTTCCCAGGGCCGTTCTGTATTAACATTGCAATCTGAACCCCTTGTGTGATACTCTTAGATTTCTGATTTTTGTCTATGATTGTACATGTTATGATTAATATAGTCGAGTCGACATGTGTCGTCAATTAGTTTCAGCTGTCTAAACAATGACAAATTGATTTGCTTCTGCCAAGCATTGCCTGAATCTATTAGAAACTGAGTTTAGTTGCTTACAATTGTTAATTTGAATCAGAAATGTAAAATGAATGTTTTGTTTAATTATAGTTCTGAAATTGGAGGGCATGTGCACTTGTGCACCACATGTGCATTTGTGCACAGCCTGTGTCTTGCATAAAGGCTTTTTGAATTAAATAGTTTGACAAGCATATGCTGTCAGAATACATTTTGCTGCCCATACTCTACTTTAGTTTCAGAAATAATAAACATTGCTCAAAAGTGAGTCTGCCAGGGAGTATCATGGGGGGGTTATACTTAAATAGCTAAGTGGAATCTGAAAAGAGAGTAGCACATGGGAGGGTGTTGTGATGGTCTAAACAGGCTGTTAAAGGTTTGATTTTAGGTGGATAAAAGGCGGACTTCCATCAGTTTTGGGAGAGGAGATACACATATATACATAGACAGGCATACAGACCTGAGGATAGACAGATACACACACACAGACAGAGATAAACAGAATACACACAGAAAACTTAGTTTGGAGATTGAGAGTTGAAGTTCTGAAAAACAGAAAACTAGAAAAGAACTTTGTTTGATAACACAGACAGACAAAACTAGAAATTGCATTCTTCTCTGCTGTCTTGATTTCACTGATCTTGACCTGTTTGTTCAATACTGATTTCTTCTAAATCCAATTGAGTCTGCTGGTTGTTTGTTGGTTTACTCTGGAACTTGGTCTAGTTGGTTTCTTGATTCTACTTGCTTCGCTTGTTGCTGCTGCTGCTATTCTGCTTTCTGCTGCTGCTGGCCCTTCTGCTTCCACTTCTTCTTTGCATTTCAATATTCAGGTACACATTTCGAGTCCCATGTTGGTGTTAACTGTAACAGTTCGAAAGCATGAAATGNACTCCCTCGCGCGTTTTTACCCTTCGGGGCGGGCGCGCAAAAAGGAGGTATGACAGTATTGTATTTTGATTTACTATTTCAATTGCTCACTGAATGCAGAGAAAAAAATACAGTTGATTTCACACAGAAAGTCTGACATATACGTTATTATCTCTTGTTTATCAGATTTAAAAACTAATTTCAATTAAACTGATAAAACAATTACCTCGATGAGATTAAATAGATTAATTCGTCTAATAGCACATAAAAATACAGGTGGTTTAACATTCATATAGAAAATAAAAAATATAGACCCGGACCAAAAAACCAGTCTATGGCTCTGATACCAATGAAGAAATACGTTAATCTAAACATATAGATAACGCGTAAATCGTAAAACGAGAACTTACTTGTTCTCGTGAAGTGGAAGCAAAAACGGATTAAATCGCAACTGGAATTACTAGTCGGCGTTGGTTGTCACAGTGTGTTGGAGCAACCCCCAATTCCACTGTCTAAACTCTTGTTTGGATTGAGAGAGAAAGAGCACGTGGAAAAATACTGCTTAGAGTTTTTTTTAGTGTACACACTAAGGGGTCGTTTGGTAGGGTGTATAAGAATAGTGCAGAATAATGTGTATTAATAATACGGGGATTAGTAATGCATGGGTTAGTAATCAAGCATTAGTTATGCAGATATTATTTCTTATCTACTGTTTGGTATGGTGTATTAAAATTATAATGCATTGCATAATTTTTTAAAAACATAATTGTTTACAAAAATGCCCTCCATATTCTCTAGATTTAAGGGACTTTAAGGACAATTATGTCTTTAACCATACTAATGCATGCATTAATAGCCTTGGTATTACTAATGTTATGGTTTTCTATGTATTACTTATACATAGGATAATACCAAATATGATGTACCAAACAATGTATTAGTAATGCATAGAGCTAATGCTTGCATTATTTTTTCTAATACCTCCTACCAAACGACCCCTAAGTGTGCTTATATAGGGAATATTAGAGTTAACTAATAACCCTATTGGGCCTTAGAGCACCCATTATGGGTGTATCCAATATTTCGTAAAAATAGTACGGGCTGACCAGTTTTCGAACTGGTCATTCAAAAATAGCTAGCGTTTGTCAAGTCATTAAAAAATAGCCGCTATTTTGCTGCAACAGAGACCGGTCCAGCATAATATACTGGAGATTCGAGCACTTGTGTATGAACTTCCAGCATATTATACTGGACCGGTATACTTTGTTGGAACTCCAGTATATTATGCTGGAGTTCTGGTGTACTTATGTTGGAACTCCATTATATTATGCTGGAGTTTCAGTATACTTATCCTGGAACTCCAATATAATATGTTGGAGTTCAAGTATTCTTATGCTGGAACTCCAGCATAATATACTGGTGTATTTTCTGGGTTTTGAACAGTGTTTTCGCTCAAATTTATCTTTACATGAAAAGTGGCTAAATTTCGATTACTTTTGAAAGTATGGCTATTTTTGAATGACCACTTGTAAATCTGGCTATTTTTGAATTAAAATTAAAGAGTTATCAATTATAATAAAATAAATTAAAAGAAAAGGATGCCATATAAAATGAAACTTAGTAAATATTAAAAAGTTCAAAATAAAACAAGGATTAGTTACCTCATATAGCAAAGGTTGATACCTTATTTATTTTAAATAAATACCCTTTTAAAAAATTATATTCCATAGATGCCTTTTGATTTTTTATAGCCAAATATCTATTTATGGTCACCTTCTACCCTTAAGCCACAAAATAAGCTTTGTATTATTTTTCTCTCTCTACTTCCCGATATCATATCCTCTCCTTCTTGAAATATCTCAATTGTGTTTTTAGATCTATACACTACAAGAAAACATGAAATTAGTACGATTTTAGCTGGAAAGTTCATATCCTTATCTAATAAGCAAATCAGAAGCAATTTTTCAATGATATATACCTTAACAAAATATTAGAAAGCAGAGTTGCTTTTTTGAGAGTGTAAATTTTGGAGAGTGAATTTCATGGATGGTAATTTTGCTTTGTGCTCATTACCTCCATGGAAACCTCGATCACGTATGATCTCCGATGCAACAATAGTTGGAATTAAAGGCGGCGGTGGATCGTCGGCAACCAGAGGCAATAGTGACGGCAAGCGAGGACTGGATACTGATGTTGCTTCAACGAGATGACATTAGGGTTGTTCTTGAACAAAGACGGCGGAGTTGGGGGCTGAGCAACTTGAATTTTCCGTTAATATATTTCAATGTCTCTCGCTGTATTTCATTGTATTCATTATCTTTTTTTATTGTATTTCAATGTATCTCGCTGTATTTTATGTATTTCATTGTATTCATTGTCTTTTTTTTTCATTATATTTTCAATTTATCTCGTTGTATTCTATGTATTTTATTGTATTCACTACCTCGCTATGTTCCATAAATATATTCATATATTTATTTTTAATTAATATAATTTATGTATTCATATGTATTATATAATTTTCGGTTGAGAATCTTTTTTATAACAGGAAATACAAAATGTGTGTTATAATTGAGTTTGTTGAGATATATTAGGAGTCTATTATGTTAATTGATTCACATTCCTTTTAAAAATAATGTAATTTCCTATTTTACGTCATGAATATAGTTGAATACAGTAATCTGTCCAGTTGTAATCCCATGTTCACGCCATGAATACAATCGAATACACTCGAATACAAAAACCTGTCTAGCTGTAATCCCATGTTTCACTCTTAGAAATAATACTGTATTCATGAATACAATAGCTTAAATACATCGAATACACTCTAAACAATCTGAAAACATAACTATAGGAAGTAATATACTAAATGATAGCTACAACTAAATAATAACCACTAAAACATAGGGGTTTCTGAAAGTTTCTCATAAAACAACGAGGACGGTCCACAAGTCCAGTGCAAGCTAGTTAGAAGAAGCGGCCCATGAACAAAACTATTGAATCCAATTCACAGAAAGCCCAAAAGTTTGGGAAAAAAATTGAGAATTAGCATAATTTACAACTGCTAATTATTTAAAATATAATTTTAGAAATTAATCAAAATTCAATCATTTTTCACATGAAAATAAAATATGGACAAAAATACTTTTAGTTAAATCTTGGAAAAATTCTAGCATAATATTTTGGAGTTGGAATTCTTAATTCTAGCGTAATCTACTGCAATTTGTAAATATAATATGCTACAGTCTTATATGCAGTATAGTTTAAGACAATAATATTTTGTTCAGATTTTATCTTTGTATTAAATAGTAGCTATTTCTCATGTACTTTGCTACTGGCTATTTTTGCAAATATCAAGTCAAAAAACTGGCCAGTCCATGCTATTTTAACAAATAGCTGCTACCACTAAGCGCGCCTCCAACTGCCGTCACCATTTGGCAATTATAGCCAATTCTTTTGATTCTCATTCATTTCTCTTCTTCAGTCTTCACCGAAAAACTTAACCTCTTCCTTTCGATCTCAAAAGCTTTCAGTATTTCGCCGGTGAAATTACCTCTCTCTTCTCCCAAATCTGTGAGTCAATAACGATTATGCCCTTGAAGCTCGTCTTCTCTTCATTTTTCAATGTTGCATTTTTTCACCTCCTTTGCTATTCATGATCATAATTTCACATTTAATTAATTGCATTTGTTGTTGTTGTTGTTGTGGGAATTATTTAAGGTGTGATGATACTTGTTAATAACAGCTGTGATTACAATTGATTTTTTTTTCAAAATGCTTGAAACTGTGTAGTTGATTTTAGAATTCAGTAGGTAAAAAATTAATCCTCTTGAAATTGAGGGTTTGATTATGGAATTTAATGGACAAAACTAAAACTGGAAATGTTTATTTCATAAAATTGGGATAGAATGGTTGAAAAATGGAAGAGGCGGAGACGGCCTTGCAACAAGTAAAATGAACAAAGGGAGAAGACAAGGGAATAGGATGGTAGAACTAGATAGCAGACTATTTGAATGTTACGTACATACATAATTGCTTCCTCTTATCCATTGTTATGTGAGTAACACTGTTCCCTTGTTCTCTCTCTCTATATATATTTTGTATAACGTGGTGTCCGAGTCAGCTTGCAGCTTGCGTGCAACAACAACAACAACAACAACCCAGTGGAATCCCACAAGTGGGGTCTGGGGAGGGTAGTGTGTACGCAGACCTTATCCCTACTCCGGAGGAGGAGGAGTAGAGAGGCTGTTTCTGATAGACCCTCGACCCGGGTCAGCTTGCGTGCATCTTAACTAATTCCTCTGGTACCTGCTGCCTCCCACGAGCAACAAGTATAAGGTTTTGTTTGCCAAGGCTTGAACGGTTGAGAAGAAATCATCTAGTATTTTTTGTCTCCGTTGAGATTTTATCCTTTAGACACGTAATTTTTTACCATCCCAAAAATTTTACACTCTTTAGTGTGTAGTTGCTTATTTTAGGTCTAATATTATTATTTTGATTATGTTTGACTCTTTTACTTTATTTTATCTTAAAAATTAAAACAACAAAAATATTTTCTTTTATTTGGGTTGCTTGATTTCTGTTTAGCTATTTATGATCTATCTTGCTTTTGATTAATTGAAAAGTAAAAAAAATATTGTTACATGTTTAGTTTCCAAGTTTTGATGCCCTTTGCAAAAGGAAAAGAAATTCACAAAAAATAGATGTCTTCCTATTAATTAAGTTTTCTATAAATGAGTATTTTTCATTAGTATCTTTCTTATATTTTTCCCTGTATGAAAGTGTGAGTGGCAAAAATAATATTAACTGAATAACACTGTAAGGCCAACTATTTAAATATTTGAGAACAAACAATTGGGCCAGTGGGGTTCCCGTTTGAGGTTGTCCGGTCTTACCCTGGTTTTCCGGCCGGTGGTTCCTCTGTGTTAATTTTGATCGTATGTCAATCGGCGGCTCTCAGATCTGTTCCATTTTTGCTTAGACGTCCTTGTATATTTTTAAAGCTTCCAAGGAAATCTGATTTTGCTCCTCTAAGGTCCATTCTTAACTTGATCTTTTAAATTAAGTAGTTTCTGTTCTAATTGTATTTCAAATCTTGCTTTAGTTGATCTTTGTGGCTATTTTGTTGATCGTGATTCGTTAGTTGAACTAGTACATATATTGAATAGTTTTGTCGAATCTGATCCTAAATTTTTGAATGGAGATTTTAGCGGAATACATGCTATTAAGAGTTGGAATATAGGCCATATCATGTTTGTTTTATTTTTCCTTGTTATTTGGTTTTAATTACTCATGTTTGCTGCATTTCCGTAGATTGTTATCTGCTAATTGTTCTTTCGTTCCATTACTGGATCGCACATGTAGTTGGATAGGGTTGAAAGTTTTTAAAAGAGAAGAACCAAGTGTTTGACATAAGTCATGAGGTGCTGGCTATTAAATGAAAGTAAAATTGGGTTTAACATGTTTTATTCTTTACTTTAATTGTTTAAAATCGCTAGGAGCATGTACTAGGCCGTCACACATGGGTAGGCAAATCTAGGACATGATGCATGTTTGTATTGGATAAGGTGAAAGGTTGTCCCCTAGTTAATTATTTTTGCCAGGGGAATGTAAACGAAGGCCAAGAGTGAACAACTTCAAGGAAGTGTAGTGTAGGATAATTTAGATTTATTTTTATTCTTTTTCCTTCTTTTATTAGGTTTGAACAATCTTGAACTTTTTATTTGTGTAATTTTGTTTGTGTTGTCTCAATATTCTTTAAAGCCAACTTGATCAAGTATGCAACCATTATTTTGCGGGACTTGGGGAATATCTTCTCCCCAAGGAAAATGAACCTCCTTAACTATAATTTTCTGCTTGCATACTAGTTTTGGAGTCAAATGTGATTTTAGGGGAAAATTATATTTTTAAATGGTGACTTAGTACACCAAAATCTAATGTCAAGTGGTGACTCTGGAAAAATCTCTTTGAACACAATATTTTTTTTGAAAAAGGAAAAAAAATATTGTGTTCAAAGAGATTTTTCCAGAGTCGCCACTTTCACACAATATTTTGTCACTTTCACAACTGAAAACTCTTTTGTTCTCAATAATACTTTTAGGCCTCATGGTTCTCAACCCACTTCATTGACCATCAGGCCACACTCTTGGGTGCAAATGTAAGCAAACAAGAGACACCTGTGACGCTTAAGATATTTTGAATACCCTTGACCACTGGTACCTTTCTATATTAGGAAATAATTAACTTTAGATTTCCTATTTTACCTTTAATAGCATGCTTTTATAACTACCGTAATGTCATGGCAGGTTTAATTCTACGAGTGTCAGAAGTTTTCTTTTTTTCTTAAACTCTGTCGAGTCAAACTCCGACACATAAATTGGAACTAATGGAGCAATTATCTGATCTAGGTGACGTGAATCTTCAATTCACATCCTTTTAATGTAGGAGTCGTGTTAGTAGTTGAAGTGAATCTTCAATTCACGTCCTTTTAATTTAGGAGTCATGTTAGTAGTATTTCAATTACTAGTTCATATCTGATGCTTGATGTGTGCATCTGCAGATTGGTTTGTTAGCCTCTTTGACTAGAGAGTGTAAATTCCCCTCAGGTGGTACTAAACAAGATTTCTAGCAAGGAATATGGTATGGAAGCAAGCTTTCCTTTAAATATCTGCATTACTTTGACGACAGTTATCTCTTTGTCAATTGATAGTGTGATTAAGGCCATGCATGATGAAAATCACTGTTATCTCTTGCTTTGGTAGTTAAACTAGGACCTTTTTCATGGTTTGGTACACTAAGTGAGCTAAGTGACTTACATTTCATATGTTCTTCATTCCACTGTTATTCATTATGTAGACCTTGGTTTCAAAGTGAAACAAACAAATAAAATAAATGACAAATAGTATTATCATGTTTCCACCATATCTTGGCTATGAGGATTTGTTACTGGCCGACTACGTGGGATCGATTGCGGTGTTTTCTTTGATTTGTACTCCCTTCAAAAGTGTATAGTTAAGTGGTGGTAAACAACAGGATAACCGATTTGGAGACAGTGGACCTGATACGATTCGGATACACAGAAGTGGAATAATAGTTAATAAAGTGTTTTAAAGAAAATAACATGATAGAAAGTCCAAACCTAAATTGAAGAACAGGAAGAATCCCAGGCTCTAATTGAACGTCTATAGTAATAATTGACATATGAAATCAATCATCCCCAAAGAACGACAAGAAACAACCAAAGATATAAGGATTTATAGAAGAAAGAATTACCTTCAAGATTCAAGCTTGATAGTAATTCCAAAGTTTATTCCAAACACAGAGGATTACAACCTCACGAAGATTTTTATCAATTTTAGTCTTGGAAAAGGTAGACGTTCCTTTTGACCATTCGTGATCTTCTGTAATATGCTCTGTGATATCCGGGGTCATATGAGCTCTCTATTTGTGTTCACTCTGAATTTTCTCTGTTCAACTTCAATGTATATCTCCTTTTCATTTAATCCACTCTTTTCTTTTTGTTTTACAGGGTGTCTTAACTCTTAACCCAAAACAGTCAGCCCCATTTAATGCTAAGACCTGATTTTGATTCAATTGCAGGTTTATCACTCCAGTTTTGTTGACGAGGAAGGAATTAGTAAAGCTTGTGGATGCCCTTTATTACCTCTGAAAAGCCATATAAAGGGACCTGCTCCAGTTTCAGAACAAGGTTAGTCGTGTGAGTCTTATCTCTCCAAGGGCAATGTCTATACATTCTTATGGTTTGATGCTTATCTTATTTTTGAGCAGATACAACTGATATTGTGGATGAAGCAATCACATTCTTCCGAGCAAATGTCTTCTTCAAAAACTTTGATATTAAGAGCTCATCTGACAAGCTACTTATCTATTTGACATTGTATATCAACATCGCTCTAAAGAGGCTTGAAGGCTGCAGAACTTTAGCTGAAGGAACCAAGGCTATCATCAATCTAGGTCTGGAAACGGTTCCTGTACCTGGAGAGTCAGGTTTTCCGTTCCCAGGCTTATTTACTGCTGCCCAATCAAAAAAAGAAGCAGGTAGATTGTTTAATGAACTAAGCAACCCTCTTTTTTCTATGTGAATAAACCACCAACACATGACTTCAGTTGATTTTGAGTTCACTATTTTGCTTCCATTTTGTCTTTTGAGATTCTAAAATCAAAACAAACAAGTTCACAGCTTATAGTTCTGCAGTTATTATATCCAAGTCTAATTTTGCCAACTTCTTCTGGAATTTCCAGTTACACTACATTTGAATGCTTGAATCCTAACTTTTTACAACATTGCATCTGATTCTAAGTGGAGAAAGATTATATGAGAGCTGGAAGACTTTCTTAACACTTAATAGGGTAACAAAACTTGGGATCAGCAATCTCTATCTTAATAAGTCAATGTCGGTTGATGGAGCAAAAACACTTCCTGGTCTCAATTTCGGAAAAAGGAAAGGGCAAAACAGAAGACTTTTGGGAACTCCATTTTCTCTGTGAGTTTGATGTGCTTTATCAATTTTCCGAGCATCGGATATGCAGACGCTGTCAAAACTGCAACCTTTATTTTAGTCCATTTTCCTCTTTCCTGTGCAGCCTCCAATCTGAAACAACATAGCAAACCTTGTCTTTTTCTCTCCTGTCAATCTTCTCCTAAACCATTTTAATTCCTCCTATCTGAACTCTCTAAATTTCACAGAAGGTTCCATTCTGGTTTTGATGGAAGGTTTGTTTGTCTTTGTACAACCACTAATTGAGAGTTATGGCCTTGTATCTCTGTTTTCCATGCTAGGATGGTCCCCCGACTAATTTAGTAAACGTTGGATTAAAGGAGTTAAATACCTTGAGTTTTTCTTTACACTTTGTATACAGGTCAAGTCCTGCGTGGGTATTGTTCTACTGAAATTGTATTCTGTTATAAAAGAAAAATTGGACTACCAAGAGACAACTCTGTGTAGTAGTATTGGCTCCAAAACCTGTCAACTATGGCACTCCTTGAAAAAGTACTTCCGCGAAATTAGGAGAACCCAAGCATGGGTGTTAGTGGCAACTCAGAGCCCCTCAATGGCTTCTTTTGAAAAAAAGAAAGAACATCGGATATGCCAATAACCATTATGATCATAGGAGTCAATGAATCTGATCATTAGCAGTCTGTCAGAAAATTGTTGCTACCAATTTGGAGATCACTTGGGTCGTTCTATGCATTGATGTCTAGCTTTTCAAGCTCCTCCTATGGCCTCAAATTGTTCCAAAAGTATATGAACTAGTATTATTTTGGAGGAGGAATCTGATGGGAGGAAAGAGTTGCTTTGTCTTGGTCTAGAAAATGAATTCCAGCTTAGGGTCTCTGAAGTTGACAGATTGATCAGGTTTAGAAAGTGAAATGGCAATTTTATTTTTATTGTTCTCATAACCATTTTTTCCCTTCCTCTTTTCAGCTAAATATAACTGTAAAATTCTTGTTAGAATAACTGGAAAACCTCTTTATTTTACGATCTATGTGAATGTTGATGTGCTATATTGCCCATTTATGCTGTCACGCCTGTTTTGAAGCATATAGTTTTATTGTATATTGGAATTATTAGGCACATCCTTTATCATGAATTTCCTATTCTTTTTCTCCTGTTGGGGTATATTGAAATGGTGTAGCACCTCTTTTGGTGACATCTTTGCAATGTTTGGCAACTGACTTCCAAAAGGATACTTCTTGTTATATGGACTGTAACATAATGTCTCTTACTTTGTTTCACTTTTGCTTTAATCGGCATCAAGATGCCATTTTGCATTCGTTCTATCTCCTCCGAAAACTGTATACCTCAGATATTAGACGACATTTACTCTATTTGTGGTCTTGTTCTTTTTCTTCTTTTCCATTGTATTTGTATGGCTCTCAGCTTGATGGTTTTTAATCTTTTTGTTTGGGTTGTCACATTTGAACTCAGAACTATTCAGGAATTACCTAAGGCAAATAAGGGAGGAAACTAGTGGGAGATTATTAAGTGTTGCTTATCGACATAATGGAACTCCTAACAAATGGTGGTTAGCATTTGCCAAGAGAAAGTTTATGAACATGGTTCTTCCTTGACTAAGTTTCTGGTGTTGACCAGAGCTTCAACTTCTGCAGAGGGTGATTTTGCTGCTACAGAATTCGTAGTCTACATAGTGGTTGGTTTGTAATGAACAATGGCTGGTGATGCACAATGTTTTTCAGGACAAGACTTTCTATGGGAGCATCTAATATGCTTATCCAAAGAATTGCTTTTGTCTCATTTCATGTGTTATCAACGAATAATTGAACCGAGAACGCATAATATTACTTTGTGCACTTTGTAGATTACTCTACTTGTAATTGCTCAAGTAGTGGGCATTCATACACTCGACTCTAACTTGTTTGGAGTTGAGGCATAGCTGTTGTTGTAATTGTAATTGCTTAAGCTATATGTATTATTAGTGTAAACTGTGTGAAAGAAGTGTGCACCAAAATGACCCAATTTGCAAGAAAGGGATTTAGACAAAGATATCTGGTGGGCCAACTAGATATGTGTCTTTCATATTCAAGTCATAAAAATGTATTTTGATGATGTTGAATCAAATAAAACAATGCCAAATACTGCTTATGTCATTCGGTTATTCTCAAGAGTTGAAAACGATATTTTGTAGCAAATTTCTATTTTTTTGGTGGATAAAAGTCTGATTGTTCATTAGTCATTCCGATTTTGGAAAAATTGACAAGGTAAACTTTGGTGACCTTGAAAATTCTTCTCAAATTGACATGGTTGTTTACAGGCTAACTATGGACACATTCTTGTGTGATTTGTGCATAAGCTGCCTTTACCCATGCAGTCATGTATGGTCCTTTGCCTCTTTTTTCAGAGGCAGAGTCAGAATTTTAACATACACACCAGCTCAGTCCCTAGCATAGTCAACCATTGTATATAGTCGAGTTTGTGCACCTTCATTGTATAAGTTGAACCCTATTTGGAAATTGCATAGGCTCAAATGAGATTTATCATGAATTGTCTAATTTTACACTGGCTGTCACTTTGCCACAATCCTCCTCCTTTATATGAGCTTGGAACATGAAATAAGAATAAGTTCGAACAACAACATTTAAAAGGGAAAAAAAGAAACTAAAGAAGAGAACATCATTATAAACAAGAGGAATTTTCATAAAGCACTATCTTTTAGTAGTAATTAACCATCTATAGATACCATTTGCTATATTACGGATTATAGATATTTTTTCTGTGGTTATAAGATGTATTTAAGCTATTGTATTCATGAATATAGTAGCAAATAGGTATGAATCAAGGAAGTCAGGCTAATCAGTTGTTGTATTCGAGTGTATTCGACTGTATTCATGGAGTGAAACATGGGATTACAGCTGGACAGATTATTGTATTCGACTGTATTCACAGCGTGAAATAGGGGATTACACTGTTTTTAAAACAGAAAGTGAATCAATTAACATAATAGACTCCTAATATAACTCAACAAACTCAATTATAACACACAAATTTTGTATTTTCAATTATAAAAAAGATTCTCAACCGAAAAATACCCCAAAAATATAGCAATATTTAGAGAAATTATATAATACATTTGAATACATAAATTATATTAATTAAAAAATATATATGAATACATTCATGGCATATAACGAGACAGTGAATACAATGAAATACATAGAATACAGCGGGATACATTGAAATACAATGAAAAAAAGGCAGTAAATACAATGAGATACATGGAATACAACGAGATACATTGAATTACAATTAAAAAAAGACAATGAATACAATGAAATACATGAAAATACATTGAAATATATTAACAGAAAATCAAGTTGATCAGCCCCAAACTCCGTCGTCTTTGTTCAAGAACAAACCCTTATTTCCGGCGAATCCGCCGTTCACCAGAAGCCAATAGTGAAAACGTGCCGCCTTGGTCCGACGATGGTGCCGGAGCCGTTCAAAATAATCCACAAAAATATACTGTATGATTTTGTTGAAAATCTGAAGACATTACCAGTGAATTTGACGGCAACTTGGCCAGGTGGATCTTAGACAATTAGATCTGAACGATGGCCAGAATAATAATTCCATCAAACTAAAAAAATGAGAAAAGAATTACAGGAACAGATCCAGAAACATTCTGATTATCAATTGCGGTGTAATTGCTGGACATTCAAAGATTGGAGCAGTTGAAGATGGCGAATTGATAAAGAGGAAACTTACTGCTTTCATTATTGAATAGCGTATCAAAGTAGAGAGAGAAAGAAAATATTGTAACTGAATAGCGTATTTAATGGCTTAGGGGGTAGGAGGTATCTATAGAATATAATTTTTTTAAATGGTATTTATTTAAAATAAATAAGGTGTTAACCTTTGTTATAGGAGGTAAAAATTCTTATAAACAACAAGCAAACATATCTTGGGGCAAGTGCACATATAACCATTATCAGGGATGCTATTTAGATATTAGCCACTACTTATTTTCTCTTAAATTTTTAAACCAAAAATCTTAACTTCCGGACAATTTACAATATTTTTGTCCTGAAAATTTGAACTGAAAAACTGAATTCAAGATGCACTGCTAATTCCTAAATAACAGCCTTTTAGAGTAGCTACCTGGTATTAGGGGTGTCAATGGATATTCGAAAACCGACTAAACCGACCGAACCGTACGGTTTTTATATAAATATATAACCGCACCGATAATTAGGGTAGGTTTTTTATTTTATAAAAATAAACCGAAAAAATACCGAATCATACTGAATAAATTTTACATGTAGAAATTATATTTATTTAGTAAGTTTAAAAATAATAATGCATTAAATTTTCTTTGAGCCTTGGAATTATGAAAACTATTACAATCCAACAAGTAATTAAACTTAAAATACTAATTCCTAAAACCTATTATGCTACTTCTACTTAAACTAAGTTATTTCAAGTATCTTTATTAGCAAGACACAAAGTATTCTAGCGATTATGAGTAGCAAACTACAATGTATTGAATATGTTTCCTTTCATATAATTTAGATTTATCTTTTTGAATATTTAATCTTCAATTGACTTTATTCTTGAGTCCTAGCTTGGTATATCTTTCAACTCGTGTGATTAATATTTTCTTTGCCTTTGTTTGATTTCTTTTGCGCTGTTATAGAATAGTTGATGGATCTATACTCTAGCCATCTTTTTTTTAATTCATCACCCTTTAAACAGTAAAAATGTCTAGAAAGTTTTTCTAAGTCCTATAAAAGAACGTATGTTATTGCAATTCTACTTCTACTGGTAAATTTTATATGATATTAAAAAAATACCGAAAATTAACCGAACCGTACCGATACCGAAGAGAAACCGACATGATTGGGACGGTTTCGAAAAGTCTAATTTTGGTTATACATAATAGAATAACCGAAAAATTGGTATGGTACAAATTTTATAAAATAACCGGCCGAACCGAACCATTGACACCCCTACCTGGTATCATTTCTACACATATCTTGCTGGAATATACCAAAAAGGACATTATTTACCAACATCTAGCGATTTTAGTCATGCTACCAAAAATTACCACTGATTAACAACATTCAAAAAACATAGGCAAAAGAGATTGTTTTTCAATGGGTATTGTTGCAATTCATTGAAAACACATAGATGAGGCAATATACAAAATTTGATGAAGTTTGAAGGTGAGTTAGACTAGTTTGGAGTCAAAGTTCATTATCAATAATATAAATATTTAAAAAATAGGGACAAAAAAGGATTTTTTTTTTTTTAAGAAAAAATTACAAGAAAATACACGTGACTTCACACCATAATAAAAATGGCCTGTGTTTTTAAGTTTTACCCCACTTAGCCCATATTGTACATATTTTAAAAGCACTAGCAAATTCAAAACATATGTTCTTACAACTATTGCTTCTAAAAGTTATGGAGTTAACATTGTGTTCTCACAATCATTGCTTTCACTCTATCTTCTTCTCACATCTTCTGCAATGCTTCAAGGGGCCGTGTATTTTCTGCTTCTCCCCCTGTGTCACCTGGTTGCATTGTAAAAAATTGAAAAGTAGCAGTCCATCATTGAAGGTCATTCAAAGCTTTTGAGATTGTTAGTTGTTTGGATTGGGTGTTGTTCCAATTAATTGAAAATATCAAAATGAGTTCAGAATTTAAATTTGAAGTGATTTGGAGTAGATTTGAGCAAGATTTGAGCTAAATTTCAGAAAAGACGCAAGGAAGAAGACGAAGTCAGTTTTCTGTATAATTATGTATAATAGTGTATATGAGTATATAAACATATATTATACACTATTATACACTTTTATACACCTTTATACAAGCGTATATAGACGAACTTCTTCCACGATTTTCAGTTACAATTCTTGTTCAAAACCTGTCCAAATCTCCATTAAATGACTTCAAATTTTATATACAACCTCCTTATACTATTTCTAACAAGTCTAAATAACACCCACTCCAAATTTCTTACAAAATCAAATTCAGAATTTAAACCCACGCATATAAGCTTGTTAAAAATCTAATTTTTACCATCCAAATGAATTTGGTTTATTGAACTAATATTTGAGTTACAGTTACTGTTTCGAAAATTAACTTAAAAGCTTGAGCAATATTTTTTAAAAAATAAATAGTAATTTCGAGAACCTAGTGGAGTTGGATATTGAATCTTAACCTATTATTTTTGGGCTAATTGGTTGTAAATTGAAACATGAGCTATAAAATTGAAAAGTAGGGAGCCCAGTTGTACTTATGTGAAATTTTTTATTTTTTTAATGGGCATGGTTAGAATTTATTAAAAACATATAGATGAGACAATATACAAAATTTGAGCAAGATTGGAGGTGATTTAGACTGGTGTGATATCAAAATTTGTAGTTAAAATCGAATTTAAAAGATTCTTCTACGACAAATGTATCAAAAATGTATCACGTATATATCTTATACACATGTATACATGGATGTGCATGTGATACACAAATGATACATAGTGTGATACACATATCATCTTTTCCATGTTCATCTTCTACTTCAAATTTTCAATTCAAACCACCTCAAAACTCCACCAAACCCAATCTATTTTTGCTACAATAACTAATTGGCTAATATTAATAGCATTTGAATATTATTAATAATATTTTATGAATTGACCAATTTTTATATAAGCTGCTTATAAAGGAACATAGCTGGTAATTTCATAACTTAATTATTCATCTAATAGTATCTGTATAGCTTAGGCTTACTTAATTGGTGAGTTGCCTCCTGCTCTAATTACTTAGGAGTCGTTTGGTTGGAATACGAATTATACCGGTATAAGTTATATTGGGATAAATTATGCTGTGATTAGTTATGTTGGTATTATGGTTTATCCATTATTTAATATGTTGTATTAAGAATGACAATTGCATAATTTCTAAGAAGAAAGTATAAGTTATACCGGTGCTAATTACTCCACCTTATATTTTATCCCGGTTTGCTAATCAAACAAAGTATTAAGGTGGTATTAAATTTTTATACCATCCTTATGCCTTCTTATACCTCATACCAAACGACCCCTTAAAAGTTTAAGTCACACATGAAAGAATGCGAGGAATAATTATTG